CCCGCGGGCAGCGGACAGGGTTATCCGCTGCCCACGCGCTCCGCGGCTTGGCTCTGCTTGCTTCCTGTAGTCAGCTGCTGGTCAGTTTCAGCAGCGGCTGAATCTGGACGCCAGTTCCGACTTACATACAGATTCAACTTAAGAACAAACCTACAGTCCCTATATTGTACGTAACCCGGGGACTGCCTGTACAGGTACCAGATCCATGGTATTCCAGAAACCCTTATGCAGCTACCCCTGCCAAGTAAGCCTCAAGAGAGCTTCCTGTAGTCAGCTGCTGGTCAGTTTCAGCAGCGGCTGAATCTGGACGCCAGTTCCGACTTACATACAGATTCAACTTAAGAACAAACCTACAGTCCCTATATTGTACGTAACCCGGGGACTGCCTGTACAGGTACCAGATCCATGGTATTCCAGAAACCCTTATGCAGCTACCCCTGCCAAGTAAGCCTCAAGAGATTCCTAGGCCACATAGATACTTTCTCAAATTTTCATGAGACTTCTCATCAAAAAGAGACAAGGATAAACCATAGTGCCTGACCCTCGGGCAAAGGAGAAATGCAGCATTTTGCTGTGTAGAAGCTGGTCATCAGCTTACCAACAGGAAGTAACCAAACCCCCCCCCCCCCCCCCATTCTTTAGGGCTTTCCGATAAGGAAGGTACATGCCCTTGAGGCAGGGGTTATGGTTTCTTAAAAACATTTTGGAAACATCTGTATAGCTCATGCCAGTAACGAGTCGTTGAGTTGGAAAAAATTGCAGCACCTCATTTTAATGTAAGCAGAAAGGATACTTGGCTGAACATGCATGCTGGGGTCTGTTGATTAGCCCAAAACAACGGCTCATGAAAGAATAAAATTGACTGCAGGGCCATGGAAGGAAGTTCGCGTTCTTTAGTATAAATTTAAAACCCTGTGCAGTAGAGAAACACATTTGTTTGTCTGGTTTCTGTTCGTGTTTAGTGTGCGTCAGCTTTCTGTTAGAGTAAAAAATTTTCAATCTAAATGTGGTTGTCTCTTCAGTTTTAAAAAAAATTAAGCGGTAACAATCCTTGCACTATGAAAAGAATGATTTGAGTGAACGAAGCCTCAAGTGCTCATCCTGGGAATGTCATAAACCCATTCTTATGCTGCAAATGTGACAGCGTGGCTACACCCCCACAAATTTATTTTTATGGTTCCTAGGGTACAAACAGTCTCAAGCTAGCAGCCTGCCCTACAGAGATCTCCAAGCCCCCTTGTTAATGTGGTGTAAATGCGGTCTTAAACCCATGCTTGAGCCATCTGACTGAAAGCTCAACTAATGTTCCTCCAGATTTCTCAACTGAGCTCCCTAGTTTATAATTTCCGTTTTATTTAACTTCTGGAGAATGTCGTCTGTGTCACAATTTAAAAATTGTAGACAGGATAAAATAAACTTCAGTTTCTGGCAGTGTTTATTGGCTCTGTTACGAACTTTAGCATAGATCTTAGACACAGCCAAATTTATTTATTGCCACATATGCATAACATCTCATTTTAAAAATCTAATACGTTATTTTCTTTCTTTCCTCAACCTGAAAATATTTTAAAAAGGGATTTTTCCTTTAATGAAGGCTAGTCAGTCTGAAAACTCCAGAATCTGATGCAGAGCCGTTTTTGCATCAGCAGAAATACCCCTCTAACAATGAGAACATCCACTGAATTAAAAAACTCATAGTAGAAAGGTTATTTTCTCAAATTTAAAAATTCCTCTGAGTTGAGACCAGGCATGGAAAAAGTCTTATCCCTGAAAGAGAATAAAGATTTAAGCATATGGAAGAATAGCCAGGTATCCAGCCACCTTGACTGGCGCATTCGCTTACCTGGCCAAAAACAAATATATATCTTTTAGTTAAATGATAACAAGGAATTATAATTCTGAGTTTCCCTTAAAGGGATTTTTAGAGATGATTGGAGTGGTGTCTTAACTCTAAATGTATGTAAATCTTGTGATCTGGCCGCATGCCTCTATAGAGTTTCCCTTCAAATAAATGGGGCTTTGACTTGTGCTTCCTTGGTTCCCTGCTGATCTCTTTTTGCTGTCAGGGTAGTTCTTGTTGATCTGGTTTGTTTGGAGTGTGGCAAAAGGTGACAAACTGTTAGTAAAATCACAGGTATGATGATGTCACATCCTTGAATTTAATTGGCTACACTCTGTAATCCACAGGTGTGATGTTTTGGCCTCAGTGTCTTTGACATTCCTCCTTAAAGTAATCGTGTGTGTGTGTGTGTGTGTGTGTGTGTGTGTGTGTGTGCGCGCGTGTGTGCGTGCGCGCGCGCGCTGCTACTTGTGGGCTAGCTGTCTCTGCAGGTAGCTAAAGAAGAATTTGATTTTATTCTAACTATCTAGGAGTCTGTTTCTTTGAGACATTTTTAAAATCAGCAGCTCTCTAGCAAAACTGGTTCCCTTAAATCTGTTTTAAGCAGCCTCTCCAGAGGCTGCATTCTATGCAGTTGTCTTAAAAGAAAGATAGAAAATGTAAGCGCTGGTTCTGTTGCCTTCATCTAATGTGTGGATTTGAGCCAAAAAAAAGCTTTGGCTTAGATGCACTAGCCTTTTGACACTTCCCATGCAAATCTCTCTGGGATCTCCACCTCCACTAAAATATTGACAGTCACATGGGGTTATTTTTAAACATTAAAACAAGCAGCAACTTTTCCTTGTTTCTCTTTGATTCCTTTCACCTCTAATTCTGTAGAGATTTTTCTTCCTCGCTTAAATTTTTTTCTGTTCTTGTTTTGTAGGTTTGCTCCCAGACGACCAGAACTATTTTGAGTGGATAAGATGAGCCATGGAATGGTAGCACCAAAGAGCAATACAGCATCACCACTTGCCTTGACTGGTTATGGATTATTTCTTCAATTCATTATCTTCAGTATTTTCATCGTGGAGGGACTGGCCTCAGGTAAGAAATCTTTACAGTACTTGCTTACTGTGTACACAAAATACACAAGTGGCAATTTTTCTTCTATGTAGTGTTAGACAAAACACAAAAGACCACTTTCTAGTATATATATATATATATATGAGATATTATAGGCTTCATTTCCATTGTGTTTGTGATAGCACCTTTGCTGCTGCCATAAGTGATCATATAGCACTGATTAACACTGTAGCAACTACTTCAACTGCTTACATGGAAAAAATACTATGGGGAAGGGCCTTAATGTATTTTTAGTGCTGCAAATGTGAGTATTTTAAAAACTTGGAAACAAACTAGCGCCCACAGCAGATGACCAACAAATGCTCTGCAGAAAGTGGTTTGCCATCTGTTGATTTCATGTTGGTTTTGTTTGGTAATTTCTGATTCGTCACTTGACCTTCTGTTAACCACTTTCTGGCTTTTTTTCCCTTTTATATCTTCTCGCTACAGTAGACTTCTGATAATCCAGCACCTTTGGGACCTAGGTAGTGGTGGTGCCGGATTATCGGCTATGCCAGAGTGTCGGGAGGTACTCTGGTGGGGGGCTATGACGGGTCTGCCGGAACCCGCACTGCATCCGGAGGGTGGGCGGGGAACGGCAGAGTGAGGGGCGAACCCTCTGCCATTTTGCAGGAAGGCGGGAGAAGCCCCACGCGGGGATGGTCAGGGAACGGCGCGGCGAGGGGCGAACCCTCTGCCAACGCCACTGCCGCCTAGAGTTTCCGGGAGGAGAGGGGAGTGGGCTCCCCAGCCCCCAGACTGCAGTAGTTATCGCTGGGGGTTGAGAAGCAGGGCTGCGGGACCAACCCAGCAGCACCTCAGCTGCTCTGCTCTGCAGCTTCCCCAAGTCTGCTGCTCGTCAGTTTCAGCAGCGGCGGACTTGGGGGAAGGGCGGGGGAGAGCAGCCAGGGGACACCCCCCAGCTCGGCGATAACATAAAGTTTCATTCTGAGTAATGAATAGATTCTTATCGAATAAATGGATATACAGTAAAACTCCAATTTTCTGGCATCCAGTGGTCCGGCACTCTGGATAGTCCTGCTGGCTGGAGCACTTCCGGGTTCCAGTTGGTGCCGGACTGTCGGGAGTGCCAGACCATTGGATGCTAGACAGTTGGAGTTTTACTGTACTTCTTGATGCACTTCTGACAGAAGTGTGGTGAGAAGTGCAAACATGAACAAAACTGGCTGATGGGGAGAGTGCCTAATAAAGGGTAGTATTTGTATAGGAAATGCACAAATAAGATATACTATATATTGCAGGGGTGGGGAACCTAAGGACTGGGGGAAAGATGTGGCCCTTGGCTTACCTGGATCTGGCCTCCCAGACTTAGGCTCCCCCCAGCATTGGATCCTGCACTGTCCCCCTATCTTCCTCCTGCGGGGCTGGAGCATACAAAATTGACTAGTCTGGAGCCCTCCTAGGCTCTGGTGTATGAGGGGAATGTGGGGAGTGTTTCTCCTTTGTAGTCAGAACCATGTCAGTGAGGGTTTTGGGGGGGTGTTGTTTTTTAGGGGGGAGCGTGGCACTTGTGTGTGGCCCCCAAGTGATTTTTATGTGAGTTATAGGCTCCCAACCCAAAAAAGTGTTCCACACCCCTGACCTGTTGATTTTAGGTATATATTTATGCAGTGTGTTGAAATCTAATAACCCCCCCTCCCTCCCGGTCTCTCTCTCTTACTAGCCTTCTTGAGATGATTTTTTTATATGTATATATGTATTTTTTCATGGTGACCACTAGAATGAAAAATATTGAGAAGAAAGGAGAGGAAGGCATTCTTCTCCCTGCACAGTGATCTAAATAAGACTTATTATAAACAAGAAAATGTTAACTTCTAGTAATTGCTGCTATGTATGGCAGTAGCTTGCTCCTGGAGACGAAATATACTTTCCAAATAAATCTTAACCCTATTTATTATTTTTATTAGAGTAGCATCCAGTGTGTGCTAGAAGCCAGACAGCCCCTGCTCTGAAAAGGTTACAGTGGTAAAGACTAAAAACATGGGTTTGTAAGTGGGGAAAGGGATGCAGCATACAAGCAAAGTAGTCAGTCAGTGGCTTCTGGTAGTCGTCTTAGTTCCTGTTTTTAAAAAGAGTGACTGTTTAGCTTCTTGGTTTGGGGGAAAGACATTGTGAAATAAAGGTTGGTACAAGGAGGGATTGAAAGTCAAAAGGAAAGGAGAAGAGGGGAGCAAGGAGGGTGAATGAGGTCTTGAATTCAGTAGCTGGGGATAGGAGGATAAAAGAATTGAAAGAAGTTAATTAGAAAAATATGAAGGGTTAGAATCTCAATTCTGAGGCAGGGACCATCTCTTCCCCTGTCTCTACAGTGACTAGCCTCTAGGGCAGTGTTTCTCAAAATATGTTGCACGGAACACTGGTGTTCCATGAACAACTCGCAGGTATGCCGTGACCTCTTCTTTGTTTTTGTCTTTTTTTTGTCTGACTTTTTCTTGAAAAAAAAAAAATTCATAGGTGTCCGCATAAAAAAAAAGGTTATTGTTTAGTCTCAAAGTTTCTGTGTTCTGTGGTCTCAAAGTTTAAGAAACACTGCTCTAGGGGAAGCGTCTAGGTACTAGAGTACTAGAAATGCTAATAAGTGGGGGATTGGTTCACCCTGTTTGCTTTATGTTGTATGTGATTCCTACTGTCCTCTGCTGATCTGTAGTAACTCACTGGCTAGGTCTACATTATACCCCTCTGTCGACAGAGGGATGTAAATAAAGCACATTGAAAGGGCAAATGAAGCGGGGATATTTAAATCCCCGCTTCAATGTGCTTTATTTACATCCCTCTGCCAACAGGGGTGTAGTGTATAGCTAGCCTCTGTGTGTGCCTTAGTTTCCTGTGCACTGAACCCGTGCCCTGCTGGGCATGGGAGTTTTGGGTGTGACTCACTGTGGGGGAGGCTGCTCCATCTTACACAACAATAGCTCAGGCTCTCTTGTACCCTGAGCCTAGATTGGGGGAGCAACCAGGTGACATCCAGTGCCACCTTTTGCCTGGAAAGTTGGACAGAGGAGGAGGAAGGGCTGCCTGCAGCGCTGGGACCTGTTGCTCCACGTGTGAGTGAGTCTCAGCTAGCTTAGATTTCAGGGAGGGGGCCCTGGCTCTGGGTCCCTAGGCTATCCCCAAGATGCATTGTACTAACTGCTTCTGGTTCCTGTGTTGACAAGTCTGTTCTATGCTGTGTCCCTGTGAACCAATAAACCTTCTATTCTGCCTGCTGCCTCATAGTCCTGTCTGGCTGCGGATGGGGTTGCAGGGTGATGGGAGTGACAAGGACCTCATAGTCATGTCTGGCTGCAGATGGGGTTGCAGGGTGATGGGAGTGACAAGGATGCCCAGTTGCTTCTGCAGGTGGGCTTCGATAGTAAAGTACATTGATGCTGGGAGTTAGTGGTAAATCAGGCGCCCTTGTTGGTGCACCTGGCCCTTTCTGGTAAGGAGGGAGCTGGTGAGATCCAGAGAGAGACAGACAAGAATGGGTGACCACTATCTAAGTTACAGTCTGCAGTTAGAGTTAGAAAAGGACCTTTTAAAATCATAGTCCATCTCTTTCCAGCTCCTACCCCTCGTAATAACCTATCATAGACTGTGTCAAGTACCCTTTGTGATCTGGGACCAAACTGCCACCATCCCTGAAACTCCAACTACATATTGAAACATCTGCAAGTGAGACTAATCTTTATGCAAATGACTACCTCTGTACAGGGCTGTTGAAAGAGAAAAGCCAACCATGACACTAGTAAGCTTTTACAGTGTTTTATTTTTCAGAGATATTGAGTTGGGTTTTGCACAGAATAGCGCTAGAAAACATTCAACTGCCATGTCTGAAAAGCCTAGAGTTGTTCTCAATTGTTTCTCTTCCCCAGGGCTCTGGTTTAGTCTTCAGCAATTACCTTCAGTGCAATTTGGATTAATTTTTGCCTAGATACGAAATAGGGAGAAAACAAACAGTGAGAAGAGCTTTTTGATCAAGATAAGTTTGTATTTCTTATGGGAGGGAAAGAACCTCCAGTTTGGGGAGGGAGTCTTTCCAAGTACAGATGCTTTGTTGCAGTAGCTCTTGGTTGAGATCTTGGTGTTGGATTGACAATAGTTGCTAGGAGGAGACTGTGGCACATAACCAAGGGGGTGCTCCTGCAGCAGCTTGTCAATTGTCAGTAACACCAGTGAGTCTGCCAGAGAATTGAGATCCAGAGGTATAAATGGTGTATACAGGCAGATGATCTAAAAAATCATCTCTTCCTCATCCTGCTTCATATAAACTCCTTTTGGTTCACTTAAATCGGGGGGGGGGGAGGCAAAGGGCCCTTCGTAGGCTGGTCTGCCAAGCTGGTGGATCCGACCTGCAGCTGCCCTGCTGTTTCCCCAGGCCAATCAGGGCGAGGGGATGGGAGAGCATGCAAGGTCTCCTCGCTCCTGCAAGAGTGTGTGGTGGCTAGAGAGATACATCGGCTCTTTTACGACAGCCAGATTTTATTGCTAGCTGCCACATGCCTTTGGCGGCGGTAAAGGGGAGTGCAAAGTCTCTTGTGTCCTTTCCCTGACTGATTGGTTCACAGTGGCAAGAGAGAGACACTGGCTGTTTTAGAACAGCTGACACTTCTCTCTAGGGGGCAGGGGAGAGAGGGGGAAGACTTCTCACATTCCCCCATACCAGGCCAGTCAGAAGGGGGTGAAGCACAAGAAGCCTCCTGGCTTCACCCCTTCTGCCTGAGGCCCCTCCCCTTCTGGGGTGACCTGGGGCTACTTCAGAAATTTCTGAAGTGGCCCCCTTTTTTAAAATTATTGCCCACCTCTGACTTAAATGCTCTGGAGGGATGTGGGGGTGTGTCATGGTAGATGCTCTTGCTTTGTAAAGACTCCTATAATGATGCTGTGAATGCAGAGCCACAGCTATGTGTCACAGCTGACATACAGTACAAGAATCACCTTGGTAAAGCAATAGGTTCCCTTCTGGCTAGAGAGATTAAAGA